TTGTCTCAGGTGCTCTTATCTGCTTCATCCGCAAGGGTGATAATGAAAATATATATATATATATGGTGGCTTCTACGGTACCCCGGGCGAAATCCGGGGTACCGCATACTTTAAGTATGGAATTGCTATCTAGACCTCGAATTAGCTGGATTTTTGGGTCTGATACTATACCCTAACCCTTAATGAGTGAAGCCTAGGTCCTAATTATCAAAATCATAATCTATAAACCCTAAGATGGGGCATCCCTTTTTGTGCCTATATTTGCCAGAATCATAACCGTTGATTATTATTTCTAATTAAATTGATCGTGGAGTATAACATTTGGAGAATTGAGACCTAGATTTTGATCTTTAAAGGTTAGAGTATAGTATTATGTCCGAAAGATCGGTCAATTCAAGGTCTAGATGGTGTTTTCATACTCAAGATATGCGGTACCCCAGATTTCACCGAGGGTATCGTAGAACTCGCCATATATACTAGTAGTACCTGGCGTATAGTATACGTCTGACGTATGCCAGTCTAACCCATATATATATATTAAGATTGATGAAATATAGCACACTATTCAATGTTACTAGACATATCAATTAAGATCAAATGTATGGACGAAGTCACCAATAAGAAAAATCATACTCACTTAATCTCGTAAGATTACCTTACCCTTTTCTGTATAGGACTTAAGATTATACAGTTTCAACGAGAAATAATACCTACTCTCATTTAGAATGACAATGGGTCCAAAGCAGGGTGCGTTTTATGATACCCTACTCTGCCCTGCCATTTCAGAATTTACCCTGATATGCCACATGACCTATGACGAAAAGGGTATGTTATGAATGACTCATGTCCTGACCTGCACAAGGCGGGCTAAACCTGTCTATGTCCTGTGTTAGAAAGCTGATTCAGACGTATTTACACATGTTTTATTGCTTTATCTCTTGAGTGTTTGATTTGGTAATCGTCGTTCCTCAACCTATTTTATGTTTGGTCAACTAAAGTAATCCAGACCTTCTCAGTTCGAATACCCGGTATGCTATGAATGACTCATGTCCTGACCTGCACAAGGCGGGCAAAACTTGTCTATGTCTTGTGTTAGAAAGCTGATTCAGACGTATTTACACATGTTTTATTGCTTTATCTCTTGAGTGTTTGATTTGGTAATCGTCGTTCCTCAACCTATTTTATGTTTGGCCAACTAAAGTAATCCAGACCCTCTCAATTCGAATACCCGGCGGGCGACTAATCTCCACCGGCATAAACTAACCAAGGCAATAACATGCCAAACTTCCTCTACTGGCTTCAGTTCCAGTATAGAGAAGTGAATCAATTTCTCAACTAAAGCAATCGATTCACAACTTCCAATTTAAGGTTGCTCTTTTAACATATGCAGAGACTATCATTCTAGGTTAAAGCAGGAATCACAAAATTTTGATCAAGACTCATGCAATTCTGATTAATGCCTCAATTGAATATATCGAATCAATCATTCGCAAACGGGGTTCATACAACCATTCCCAACAAAGAAAAATAGGCCGGGTTCTTCATGCCCAGATGAAAAGGGAGTTTACTCCATGGAGAGAAGAGGAAACATCATGCAGGAGGAGATATCATCATACGGACAATGAAAATCTGCTCCAAGCGGCTAATCGGTACTCTGAGAGGAACCGAGCTCCGAGGTCTTCAGATCGCTCCAATCCTTGTCCAAGGCTTGTTCTTCGTCACTTTCTCTCTCTATGGTTCGCTTCTTTCTCTTTAGAACTCAAAAATTCGGATCCTTTACAATTTGCATGAGCTCCCTTTTTATTTGCCGGAGATTCGCGAGTTGCGGTCAAAGTTACGGTGGTAACTCCCTCTTCCATCCCATAACTTCCCTTCGAAACGTCGACATCTTTGTACTCCGAGTTACGGCTCCTATAGGGAAGTTATGGTTGAGACCGTAACTTTGAGGGGGGTGGACGTAACTTCAAAAATGCTCTTAGAGCTTTGCCATCGCCTCCTCAGAGTTACGGGCCTAGAGGGTAAGTTACGGTTCAGACTGTAACTTCAAGGGTTTGACCATAACTTTGAAACTTCTCCTGGATCCCTGGCTATTGCTTCTTCAGAGTTACGGGAACCTTGGGGAAGTTACGGTCCAGACCGTAACTTTCAGGGTCTGGCCGTAACTTTTCCCTGCTCTCTGCCCAATCGCTCTAAAACGTTCCAAACTCGCTCTTTTGGACTCATTCATGTACTAGGACCTGAAACATCATAAACCAACACAACCTAGCGTAAAATAGGCCACAAGAGCGAGAAAGCAAGCTCAAACGATGAAGAAATGATGGGGAAAACATGTTCAAATACAGTGTTATCAGTAGGCTAGTAAGGACGAGTTGGGAGACATACCCAAGCATAATCAAGCATATAATCATCAAAACAAACATATCCATACATAAACTCTAACACATTTACATCTACATTCAAAACCTAAATCTAGGGTTTGGGGGTTTGGGACGCAAATTACCTAGAGGGATTACCCCCTATGAAGGGGGGGGTGGGGGGTGGGGGGAGACATACAAAGATGGGAAGAAAACATGAAGAAGGGTCTTCATGTGCTGGCAATCCTCATCCAAAGCTCACCTCTTCTTCTTCTCCAAGCATCTACTTATCTCTCTAACCTTACTCTAGAATAAAAAATATGCCAAAAGCCAATCTACTCAAGGGAAGTAGTCCCCTATTTAAAGAATTCTGCAGATACAGGCAAGTTCACGAGCACGTGGTAGAAGATCACGTCCATGATCTTTGTGGGAGAGGTTGCGATCTTAAGTGTTATAAAATTTTGAGAAAGCATGCAAGTCACATAAAGGGGCAGAAAATCGCGGTGATGATCTTTGGTGGAGAGGCTGTTATCTTGAGGGTCACCATTTACACCTTGTTGGATGTGAAGTTCGCGGCCTGACATCACGATCGCGATCCGAGATGTCGCGGTCGTGATCTTTATAGCGAGCACAAGTAAAGAGAATCGCGAGTCTACGAGTTCGTGGTCGTGATCTTAACACTAGTGGCTGCGATCTTGATGCTCTAGTTCACGCCCTCACTTCGAGGTCGTGATCTTGGCACTAAAGGTTTTTATCTTGGCTCTTTTGGTCGTGAGCCATTTTTTGCTCCTTTTCCTACACATTAGCTTGATTCTATCCCTTTTTTCGCTTGTAACGTCAAATGTAATCTAGAATAACATGATATAACAAAAGAAAGCAATCTAGACTACAAATGATATTCTATAAATCAAATCATGCTCAAAATGACAATAAAACAACTAATAAATGAAGGCTAAATAACATCATTTTGGATGTTATCGATTATCAATGGTCAATGGTGTTAATGATCTAGGGTATCGAGCATCTATATCATTTTGTATGAAGGGTTGTGCATTTCCTTTCCTACACACTTATAATAGATGCATATTACATAAATTGGGTTTCCCATGCAACATATAATGATTTGACAAGCAACAACTATAGTAACATACAATACAAGATAAAAGAATAAGATAATTAAAGCATTAGGTAACTAAAGCATAAGATGATATAAGCATCTAATGAAGAGACATCTAATTATAATAGCGTCTCATCATGTCATAGAATAAATATGCATCAAGCATCGTATAATTCACATCACTAAACAATACAAGCTTAGTTAGCCATAAGAGTTGGAGAAGACATCACCAAAGATGATGCGGGCTTCGATGATGAATGCATTCCCATTCAACTCCGATGGAACTTCGAATGATTTGCATGTGTGTAGTAAGAGTGTATGAAAACTAAAGCTTAAGCTCCTATTTATAGTACAAGAAAGAGTGGTAAACTAGGATTTTTCCTCTAAATCATGGCCTCAAGCTTCCTTGTACTGCTTGAACTCGGATTCTCTGACTTGGGGATGAAGTAAGCATCTTCTAGAAGATTCTCTCGGTCATGGGCCTACGGCACCTGACCGACGATCGGACCCACAGTGGAATTTCTTCGTCCTTTGGTTGCTTCGCCACAATTAACTCCTCTTATGAAATTCAACACGACTTGATGGGTTTGGCTCAGCGTCCAATTGCCCGCAGAAGAAATTCCACAAGTTAGGGAGAGGGAAAAACTGCCCTTGACGAACTACACCAACACCGGAATCCCAACTTCTTCCACTAGCAATGGCTATGACGGGGAAGTGTGTTTTCCAAAACAAAATGTCGGAGAAGCAAGTATAACGAACCTACGCGGGCTGATTAGGGACTCAAAAAGGAAGATGATAGGGCTAGAAGAAGAATAGGAAGGATAAAAAGGAATTTATAAAAATATTTTTTAGTTAAAATAAGATGTGGCATCCATGTTGCATGGCATGTCGAGTTATCATTGACGTTGTGTCAATGTGGCATCCTCGTCAACGTCTTGTAAATGTAACTGATAAAATCTCTAATGACGTTAAATTTTTAACGAAAATAGCTATATTTATCAAACATGCATCCAAAATCTAGACATTTTTTGTATTTATGAGAAATTGTCTATTATTGTCTACAAACTCGATAGTTATGGCTATGCAAGTGAACTTAGTTAATTCGAAGAGACAATTTTTTTATTAAGTGTCGTCGAATCAGCAAAATGTTAGTCCAGACGACATCTAAAATGATTCCGTTAAAGTTTTGAATGAAATTGAACATTAGTATATTTTCGGAGAAATTGATAATTATTGTCAGCAAGTCGATAATTATGACCAAATAAGTGACTTTGCCAATATGTGCACAAAATAAAATAAAATGATGCATTTTACTTTTACAGCATACAAAATCCATGGTAAGGAAAAACGGAGCCGAAGGCACATTTTAAAGAGCTTCGACCAAAGCCTAATGCTCTTAAATTTAATTGTCGTGACCTCGTGGGCAAAGAAGACCAGTTCCATCTCATTTCTGAAGTTAAGTCTCTCATTTCTCTCCTCCTTCCAAAAACCTCTCCAAAGTCTCTCCTTCTCTCCGTCCATTTTTGACAATGTCTGACGGAGGTATGACCGTTCTCGACGGAACCCACCTCCGATCCTTGAGGCTCTCCATCCCGGACTCCGCCGCCGCGCTCACCGGTGCCCAAGTCCTCGATTTAGCCGAATCCGCCGCCTCAAACTCACTCTTCGACCTCCCATTGCCTCCCGCTCTCAAGTCCGCCGCTCTCAGTCGCCTCAACGTCGATGATCCCGCTGCCTTCCACAACCAGGAGCTCACCCGCGAAAGTGCCACGGCCAAACTCGACGAGTACCTCGCCGCCATCGCCGATGAGCTCAGAGGTCCAAATTAAAACCCTCCTCACTACCCCCAACATATTTTTATTTTCTTCAGCTGTTGGTTAAAATTATTTCGCGAAATGCTACTTTTTGTGTATTCGAACAGAGAACCCGATGGTGATTTCGATCCTGGACGGGAGCACGCTGCGGGTGTTTCTGGAGGACGAAGACGATTTCGCCATGTTAGCGGAGAATTTGTTCACTGATTTGGATTCCGAGGATAAGGGCAAGATCAAGAAGATCGAGATCAGGAATGCGCTTCTTCGTATGGGAGTTGAAACTGGAATCCCTCCTTTTGAAGGTAAAAAGGTCTTCCCTTCCACTTTTGCCTTTGTTGAACGAACTTTTGACTTGCCCTGTGGGGAAAAGGGTTGACTTAGTTGTGTTTGGATTGATCTGCTGTGAAGAATCCCCCTTGTTTGTGTCCTTGAATCGTATGCGAACGTGGATCTAATGTGGTAGGAGTAGTGGCCTTCTTCCTTAGGCACTAAGTAAAGGTCCTGGCTTAAATTTGAAGGATTGGATGTGTATCACGATGAAGGCTTCGGCTCTCTTCAAGTGCTAAAGAATCTTGTTTAGGAATCGTATTACCCTGCCTCTAGGTTTACCCAAATGTTGACTATGATGTCTAAGAAGGAAAACCATGGTGAAACCCTTTGATGTATCTTGTTTGTGGTTGTGCTGCAATTTCCTTCGCCCTTCATCGATTTGAAAGAGTGGAACTTTCTTGCCACCATTGTCATCATGTTCTACTTTGCTGTTAAGCTTAAGACTATACAATGCTTCTAGTTTCTTGAAACTGACAGATAATTGTGTGATGGAGCAGAATTTCCTGTTGTAAATGACATCTTGAAGAAACATGGAGTTCAGGAAGAGGGAGAGTTGGGCCAGTCTCAATTTGCTGAGTTACTTCAGCCTATCCTGCAAGAAGTTGCTGATGCATTGCTGAAAAGGAATGTTGTGGTTGTCCATAACACTCAGATACTCAATGGATCCAAACTTAGAAAGGTAGGTTACTTTTTGAATATTTAGCAATATGACCCTTTATGTACTGATATATTAGCTGCTTTTCAGCTCGTGTTTGTTGTTGAATTTCTGCTTGTTGCATGTTTGTTTATCTGTCAGGATTTGGTGATTCTGTTTTTCCTCTCTCTCCCTCTTCACTCTATATATAACAAGAAACTTGAGGGTCATTTTGGATGCAGGATTTGAAAAATGTTGGATTTCGCAAAATCCTTGGATTTTAAAAGTAATTGCTGCATTTTTTGTTTCAAAATTTTTTGTTTGTAATGTGGTATTTTAGTAAGATATAGTGACTGTAAAATGCAAATGAAGTTCCCACTGCGGACTTGATACTATATTTTTGCTTCACCAAACATGGTTTCAGAAGGAACCTTCTACTCATTTTGTACTCAAAAGCATGAGGTGAATCCTACATGGAGTTGATATTCTTTTTGCCCTACCAAATAAGGTTTTGGAAGAAACCCTCTACTCATGGATTCTGTGCTCAAATACATTGGGCTAAATCGTGCATCCAAATAATCCCCTAGTGTCCGAGAAATATGCTTTCTGGACATCAACCCAACTAACCAACGCTGGAGTTCTGGTCGGTTGGCCTATATGTTCTAGTAAATAAGCAATCCTTGGAACTCTTCATCATCTCATGATCCTTGTCTCAACCTTTTGCAGCTGCTGGCCGATGAAGAACAGTTGAATACCATCTTGGCAAAAGTTCTAGACGAGAAGCACAAAGCAGAAGACAATCTAAACAGCAAGGAAATGATCACCAGTTTCCTTGATAAACATGCAAAAGAGGTTGGCTTGCCATCATCAGAAGCTAATGAGGCAGTGACCCTCGTTTATGATGCAGTGTTTGCTGAGGTGGGTGACAGCAAATTTGCTGCCGATGAAGATGACCAGTTCAGAGAGCTTGTGAAGGAAGTACTCGAGAAACTCGCAGAGCAGCTTGAAGCCAGCCCCATGTACTCTGACATCTGATCTGCTTAGTTGTGATGTAGTTTGTGCAGTTTATTGCATCATATTTAAGAGCTAAGAATCTTTCAGAAAGCCAAACTTGAATCCTGTTATGTAGCCACTAGATGTTACAAGTGAAACAGGGACATCATATCACAGAGATTGTAAAACCAGCCCTTTTACCATGGGGTTCCATTTTATCTTTATACGTATAGAGATGCGTTGAGGACGGTTCTGAGGACCCTAGTTTCAAATTGGCGTCGTACATTAAACAATGATTTAATCATATTTCCAGTCAGTTGGAAATTTCAATTACTTGCTCATCTCCATGCCTTTCTAGAGTTTCCCTATGTTTTCAGGATGGATGGTAGTTTGAACCTGTGCCTGTGTACTCGGTTCTGACTTGGTTGAGCTGCGGGTTTTAATCTACATGCACTACCCTCGCCAGCTGCCACGATCGTTGCGATCCAGAAAGTCGCTGAGTTTGAAAAGCCATGCACTGACGCCGAGGTACGAAGACAAGGTCGGAGTCACGAGTCGCGTTAGTGGCAACACAATCGTTGGTGGCTCCGGTGCAGTCATGACTGCTAGAGAGACGTGACCGCGGGCAAATGCGGCGGCTCCAAAATCCTCTCCAGATTGTCTGGCAAAATGTTTGCCGATGGATACACAAGCTAGCTACTAACCCGAATAGGCCATGCTATCCTACTACAGATGTAAATATACTAACACAAGCTAACATAACAAATTTAAACACTAACACTCAAAAGCCCCCTTACAAACACCCTTACATGTCGAGCAAGACCATACACATAAGAAATGCAGTCACAAAATTTAAAAGCTAACAATTTTACGTTTTTAGATTACCAAAACGCTTTCGTTTTCCTATTTAATCTTTTGTGTGCAAAATCGGACTAAATTACGCTTTTACACGTCTAGTTCACCAAAACGCTTTACGCTTCTAGTTCACTAAATGGGTATTCTATTCATGAAATAAAATATTGTTATAAAAGCGCTGCTACGGATCGAGAGATCGCCAGAATCGATAAAGCAAGAATACGAAAGCAAGAATCAAAAAACACAGACACACGATTTACATGGTTCACTAACACGATGTGTGTTAGCTAGTCCACGGGCGAGAGAGAGCCAGTTTCACTATATCAAGGAGATTACAGATTACAGAGGAGTATGAGAAGTATTTATAGTACTTCTCCATGTGGGTCTAAACCTAATCCAATATGGCAAAGGAAACGGTTACAGACCAAGCCCAGAACCCGAACCCAAATAACATTGAGCCCATACACCACAGGACCCCCGACTAATCCAGTCGCAGCGGCTGATAGTCCGATTCAAGTCACATCAACAAATCTCCACCTTGACTTGAATCCTCTTCCTCTAACATCTCTGATGTACTATGCTCCTTCTCTCTCTCCCGCCATCAATGCCCCGTAGGGCGGAGTCACCCACTCAAAACATTAAGCAAGTCCAAGCAGTGTTGGAACTTGCCATGTGGAATCGGCTTCGTGAACATATCAGCAGGATTATCCGCGGTGCCAACCTTCTTCACCTTAATCCTCTTCTTTGTCCTCAAGAAATGATACCTCACGTCGATGTGCTTAGTCCTCTCATGGTGGACTTGATCCTTGGCCAAGCATATTGCACTCAAACTATCGCAATACACTTCTTCATGATCATGATGTAGACCCAGATCACCAACTAGTCCCTTCAACCATATTTCCTCCTTAGAAGCTTCTGTCAACGCCATATACTCTGCCTCGGTAGTAGACAATGTCACCGCCGACTGCAGAGTTGCCTTCCAGCTCACTATAGAACTCCCAAGAGTGAATACATAACCGGTCATCGATCTCCTTGTGTCAACATCTTCAACATAATCCAAGTCAGAATACCCAGACACCAAGCACTATGTATCACTTTCAAAGCTAATCCCCACATCAGGTGTACCCTTAAGGTACCGGAAGATCCTCTTCAAAGCCTACCAATGCTCCTTTCGAGGTTGTATCATGAACCTGCTGACAACACTAACAGCATGTGCAAGATCAGGTCTAGTGCATACCATAGCGTACATCAAGCTACCTACTGCACTAGCATATGAGACTCTCGACATGTACTCCTTCTCAGCCTCTGACTGCGGTGCATAAGCTGGGTTAGTTGAACATTTGAAGAACTAGGAGTATTTAAGGGCTTTGCTGAAGACATGCAAAACCTCGACAGTATCTTCTGGATGTAGCTCTTATGTGACAAGAAAAACTTCTTCTTCGACCTATCCCTGTAAATCTCCATACCCAAGATCTTCTGATCAGCTCCCAAATTCTTCATCTCAAACTCAGCATTGAGAAGCCCCTTTAACTTCTGGATATCAGACTTCGACCTCGCAGCTATGAGCATATCATTCACATACAGAACAAGATAGATCACCGAACCATCCTCCACCTTGTTGTGATACACACAACAATCATATGGACTTCTGTTGTAGCCAAGCTCAAGAATGTAACTGTCAAATCTCTCGTACCACTGCCTCAGAGACTGCTTAAGTCCATATAAGGACTTCTTTAGCTTACAAACATACTCTTCTTTTCCTGGAACCTGAAATCCTTCTGGCTTAGTCATGTAAATTTCTTCCTCCACTCTCCATGTAGGAAAGTTGTCTTCACATCTAGCTGCTCAAGCTCCAAGTCATAATGTGCCACTATTGCTAGTAGCACTCTGATCAAAGTATGTCTGACCAATAGTGAGAAAATCTCATTGTAGTCAACTCCTTCCCTCTGCGAGAAGCCTCGTGTCACCAGCCGAGCTTTAAATTTCATGCCCTCTTTCAGAAGTTATTCCTTCCTTCTTGATGTAGATCCACTTGTTTGTAACAATCTTCCTTCCCTGTGGTCGTTTGACTAGCTCCCAAGTCTGATTCATGTCATGGGATTCCATCTCATCTCCCATTGTGGCAAGCCAGTGATCAGCTTTGCCACTCGAAACGTCTTCTCTATAGGACTGTGGCTCACCTGCATCTACTTCTTCAGCAACCTGAAATGAATAAGTCACCATGTCCTCGAAACCATACCTCTCTGGAGGTACTTCTACAGTCGCTCTCTTCGGTCTATCGGAAGTTATAGACTGTTGAGCTCCTGCACTCAGGGCCGTCCCATGATATTTGGAGGCCCTGTTCGAAAATTTAAAATGTGGGCCTAGTTTTTTTCCCATAAATTTATCAAAATTAAAAATTAGTAAATAATTGTAAAAAAATACTTAAGTTCAGAAAAAGATTACATAAGCAATAAACGATCTCGTTTCCAGTTTGACCAAGAAACCAAGACCGAATTCCCAGCCCTAGCAGGGAGGAAAGTAAATCTGGAAGGAAGAGAAAATGGATATAGCGCAAAAATTGAATGGAGAAATGAAAATAGTCTAAATTGATCGAGAGGTGGGTGCAGGATGTCTACTAGATCGTGGAGACCCTATTTCAAAATCTAGACGTGGTCCAAATCGACCTTTAACTATAATAAAACTAAAATGATTATAATAACATTATTCAAAATGTAATATATTTTTATATTGTTTAAATTAAAATTATCTATTATTTTTCAGATTTTCGTATTCTCTATGAGATCCTTTTCAATTGTTATTATAGCAAAAAATTATCTATTAAACACATCATCATACTCATAATCAATCATACACTAAAAATACAACCTACAATATACGATCGGTAACTAACGAATCTAAGTAGAGGCCCCTAATATTCTGAGGCCATGTGCCAGAGGGCGGGCCAGCACACCCTCTTGGCCGGCCCTGCCTGCACTGGACTTTGAATTTTCTGGCTCTGTAGAAACATCCTCATGTTGATCTTCTCCACCTTGGTGCTCAAACTCACTCTCATTGAGAGTTTGCAGCTACACCTGCTTATGAACATTTCTGCTACCTTCAACAACAGTAACCTTCAACATGGGGGTTAAAAATAGACTTCTCATCAAATATCACATTTCTACTGAGTATAACTCAATGCTCAAAAGGTGACCGGACTCGAAATCCCTTAACTCCATCTCTGTAACCCACAAATACACCCTTCTTTGCCCTTGGGTTCAGTTTACCCTCATCCACATGATAATAAACAGGACACCCAAAAACTTTCAGTGAAAAGTAATCAGCAGGCTTACCACACTTCATAAGGAGTCTTAAACTCGATACTTGTGTGAGATCCACGGTTGATCAGGAAGCACGCCATGTTCACTGTTTCTGCCCAGAATCTTCTCTCTAGTCCAGCATTAGAGAGCATGCACCGTGCTCTCTCCAACAATGTCTGGTTCATCCTTTATCCAACGTCATTATGTTGTAGTGTATCTCTAACGGCCCTATGACGGGCAATCCCTTCATCCTTGCAGAGTTCGTTGAACTCAGGATTATAGAACTCCAGACCATTGTCCGTTCGCAGCTTCTTGATCTTCTTTCCGGTCTGATTCTCCACCAATGTCTTCCACTGTGAAAGTCTTACTTTTCTGCTTCATCATGAAAATCCAAGTAAATCTCGAATAATCATCAATAATAGACAGAAAATACATGCTGCCTCCAATGGATTCAACTCGTGAAGGACCCCAACAGTCGGAGTGGAGGTAATTTAGTATCCCCTTCGTCCGGTGGATACCCTTCTTGGGAAATTTGCTGCGATGTAGCTTCCCAAACACACAATGCTCACAGAATTTCAAATTCTGCACCTTGTGCCCACAAAAGGTAAATCACCAACAATATGTTAGATTTGAGATGGGTAAATTGCAAGTTTGGTCACTGAAAGTGCTAAAAAATTCATGTTTGGTCACTAAAGAATTTTATTCCTCATTAAAAGTGTTATATAATTCAAGTTTGGTCACTCTCCGTCCATTTTCGTTAACTTTAGCTTATGTGGCAGTAACTCTGACAGTTGACCGTTAAATGTGTGACATGGCAATTAAAAGTTATAAAAAAAAATTAAAATTTAATCTTGTACCTCATTATCACATTCATTTAAAAAACCTAAT